TTGCCCTATGACAACACAGTAGCTACATCTTTATAACATATGAAGTTATCGAGGAGGTTCTGGTGCTGTGGTGTAGGGCAAGTCACGACAGCATGAAGACAATTGGCTGTGATGCTGTCTTTCCTTGGATGAAGTTCACATGCATTAGTGTATCCAGTAAATAAAAGGCAATCATTTGAATTTCTTAACCAAAAAAGTAAAGTGGTTTAGACTTCATATGAGAGCAAGTTGAATCATTTTTTCATACTCTATAACTATGAGAGTTCTAAATTTAAAACCTGGGCATTTTTTCCTAACATGTACAGAATTATTCAGGAAGCTTAATCCTTATAGGTTAGATTGTATAGTACTTGAAGGTACTATGCACATTACAGGAGGAGGAAGCAACCATCAGTTTTACACAGCTGTGAACCCTGTCTACTACAACGACAGGCCTGTCAAGACATGCCCCTAGTAGAATAGTGACAAATAAATATCACAGAAGTAACCAATTACTTTCTGATTAGGTTTAAGTCTCACTTCAAAAGATGAAACCCATTATCAGTCCATGCACCTGTGGCTAGACAGGTCATAGCTACTAGGAGAGAATCTGCTATCATTATTTGTTAGATGGACATAATAGCAAACCTTCTCTAAATGACTTACATTCATATCCATAGATTAATACATCTTTCAATCTTCATCTGAGAAGCTATTTGCAGTAGATGTTGATTAACACAGAGATCCACAACTATTTTAGCTTCAAAGAATAAGATACTATCAATGTTCTGCCATAAATGTGACATCTATATCACACCGCATCCTCTGTAGGAGAAGGGACAGAAAGATTCTAAGAGCAAGAGATGATTGATGGTTAAAGGAAGTGGTGTCTTCTGGACAAATTTGAGTAGCAGACATATGAACCTATAGTAATTTTAACAGGATTTACAAAATCTATGCAAACTCAACTACACCAAATGCCAGCATGGAAATGCAGGGAAACAGCACATCATTCTAACTCTAGCCAGTGAGCTATTAGCAATTGATAAGTGTAAGTCAACTGGTAAGTTGACTGTGCTCCAATGGAAGGCTGTATGTAGATAGTATATGTGCAATGCTTTTGGACTTAATGGGTTTGAGAAAAATAAAAGAGCACACAAAATTTGGTAGGTAAGGAAAGGGCATAGATCTAGGAGGAGTTGTGGGAGGAGGCAATTGTGGTTAAAATACATTGTATAAAATTTTCAAAGAATAAATAAAAAATTAAAACAAACAAAAGAAAGGTTAAATATAGGAACAATTGAAGTCATCTGATTATAAAAATACCTGTTGGCTGAACAAGACAGCAGCACTTTTTTTTTTTTTCCGATTTTTGTTGAGGCTCACAGACAATAATAGAGATAGGACAAGACATATAGTAAGTATACTTGCACTTAATAAAGAAAACACTGGATTCAATAGTTTCTTAGCATTTGGTGTGCTAAAACCAGAAAAGATCTAAGAACTTTTCTACTCTGCTCTCTTAGATGCTGAAAATTTTCTATACAGAATGTCAGATACTTCTTAGTTTGGTATTTCTATAAATAATAAGCTTATTATCTACAATGAGAAAATGTTTTTAAAATATATTTTGTCAGAGTGATATGTCTTTAGTAGTTCTTACCATGTTATAAAAAATCTTTCCATTGAAGAACATTTAAAAATATTTTATGTACATTAAAATAATTTATCCTTTAAAAATAGCATTTCAAAACTCCATACGTAACATATCTGTCTATATTTTGAATATTTGTTGTTTTATCTTAGGCCCCAAATAGGGTCAGCAATATTTTTTAATGATTCCATTTTCCCATAGTTTTCTATTTGTGTCAATAATCTTACTGTAGAAACATTGACTTCTTAAGGTATGCAGATAATCTTTTTTGTCTCTTGCTCATTTTTTTTAGTTTCTACATTTTAGCTTTTCAATAGATTTTCATTTTGAGAAGGTACAGGAAACTTTATTTCAGTCTTATCTTTAGAGAACTGGAGTATGCTATTGATGTTGTTTATCTTTAGAGAACTGGAGTATGCTCTTGATATTGTATCTTGATCCTACAGTATGAATTGTGATATGTGTGTGTGTTTTTAAATGCCCGACAATCTATACTGTACACAGTCACACTGGTAAATAAGGCTGTAATTGTTGTTCTTATCTATGATCTCTGCTTTTATTTGTCAGTAATTTGATCCAAGTTTCTATTGTAAACTTTAATGTAAAATGGGCTAGCCTCTATATGCAAGACTCTATTGGCAAATAAAAATGATATTTTAAAAAATAAAAGCAAAAATCATTACAAAGCATTATTCTCAGAGCAGGTAGTTAATATGTTGTTTTAAATCTATGGGAATCCTCGATCAGAGTGGCTGATGACATTAAAGCCTGAACATGCTGTATTCCTTTATAGGTAAAGGCAGAGAAGATGGCACCAGAATCAAGCTTTGGCACAAATATTTCCTGTCGTGTGTGTGTGTGTGTGTGTGTGTGTGTGTGTGTGTGTGTGTGTATGACTGTGGAATAGATGTGAATAATTTGTGTTTATATCCAGTGAGATCTCAATGTCACACATGTAAATCATTAGTGGGGGAGATGAGTAAAAACAATGTATAATGACCTACATGGATAAAATTATCATAAAATCACTATTTCATATGATAACATAAAAATTTGATGAGGTTCTAAGGAACTCACTAGTTCAGAGGACTTGTGATCTTTCAGGGGATCTGGGTCAGTTCACCACCAAATATCATGTGGTTTGCTACCTTTTTAATTCTAGTTCCAGGGGATCTGATGCACCCTTCTGGTCTTGGGGGAACCAAGCCCATGTATGGTATACTTATGTACAAACAAAACACTAACACATAAAAAATAACAAAAAATAATAGAGACTAACATTTGTAGGCTTGATTTCTTGAGAAATTTTTCATTTACCATGCCATGATATAAGGACCTTGGTGAGTTAAGGCACATACCAGAATTGTGCTGTCACCTCTAGCCCTCTCCAGAAAGTCTGCAATGTTCACTGATGCCCAATATACAACCTTTTCAGAATTTTACCATCAACTTTCAGTTTTCACTAGAGGTTTCTCAATGTCTGCTACTGCATTTCTGAATTAACAACAAATGCAGATTTGTCTTTGATGGCTCTTTTATAGCTGCATGCAGCTGGAGAAAAACCAACTGCCAAGGGAACTCAATTTTCTTTATCATCAACTTGACATTGGTTAACAGATGGCTTCTAGCTACTATGGTCGTCTTAATTTGTCTCTTTATATAGTGCAGCAAACACCCTTGGTTAATTGCCTGATTATTACATTTAATTCCTTGTCAACAATATCCATCCTTCTTTTGGAAAATATCCTAGGAGAAAAGTTTTGAAAGGCAGCAATTTGAAGTTACAACTGGCACCATGTCTTTGAAGCCTAAAATGAACAGACCTGAAAGTAAGGACATGTATCACACATCTTTGGTATTAAACTCCAATAGATTTCATGATCTGAATATCTCTTTGTGTTCAGTACATAAAAGAATTGCATTCTTACATTCTTGTCCTATTAAGAAAGTCTGAAATGTTCATAGATATCTAATGTACAACCTATCTTAGAATTTTACCATCAACTTTCAGTTTTCAATAGAGGTTTAACCAAATTTTTTTATGTCTAGCTTCTCTATCTTTTGGGATTTATGTCAGTAGGATTTAAACTCCAGTGTATACAAGGGAACATCAAAATGCAGTTACAATTCCTTGAATCCACCACATTCTTTTCCCTGCATTGTTAATTCAAAGAAATGAGTAAAATTTAAAAATCTGTTGAGGAATCAATTCAATTTGACAACAAAATATATAGTATCATACACGATTTTGCTTGTACACCTACTTGTACATTTGCAAAAGGAAAATTCAGTATACAACAAAAGATGAGTAAGAAATATCCCTATATGTTGTCTACACTGACAGTAGCTCATTGATGATGTTAATATCACTGGAAACAACCACTAATATTCATTTTTAATCTTAGCCTTTTTATTTTCATTTATTCATTTTAAATGATAAGGCTGTCAAAAATGTTGCAAAATTATAATCATATTCCTTTAACAAAATAAATTATTCAAACCTTTCCTGTTGCACACATTTTAAATAAATTCAAAAGATTGTTCAATGAAGTCAGAGAACTCTAAAAATAGTCCTTTTGCCACTATTATTATAGAAGATCTGAACTAATTTTGCCAGAAATAACCATTCTATTGAAGTTTATGCTGCCACCTATGGGGAATGAACATTCTTAGTAATTAATTCAAGATCTAGAAATTAATAATGTTGATTATAGAAGAAAATTGAAACATTTAAGTTGATTCATTACTATTTAAGTGCTAGAGGAAAGCCCATTTATATAAAACTAAATCTAGGAAATCTCTTAACTTTCCTTCTAAAACCTGTTTTATAAGTACAGATGGAAACAAGATGCAAAATCAATGATGCTTATTTCTAACAAATATCTAAAGTGTTACCATTGAGTACTTTCAAACCTGATGGAAAGTAATATAAACCAAATCAACTATATAGTGAAGATTTATGTGAACTGACTTAGTAATCTTACATCTGCTTTCTCTATCTCCACACTTTTCACATTTGCCAGTGTGAACTTTCAGGGTCATGTTCAAATTTGAAATTGAATGACCATGATTTTCAACCTATAGCCTGCCTGTGTGATGGAAAGAGAAAAAATACAGGCTGCCAGTGTAATGGAAAGAGAAAAAAATTAGATTAAGGAAAGTCATTGGTCATATATGTAATGTGACATCCAATCTGCACCTAAGGAAAGTCATTGATCATGTGTGTAAGGTATTATTCAATCTGCATCTTATCAAAAAATAAACACATAGCAATGTGAAAGACATCTTAGCTTTTTTTTGTAGACTGAATGGTGGTCTGAGCAAAATAAGTAGGCTCTAAATAATTCTGCACTTTCATTTTTTTCAGAATCTTCTATATTGTGTCAACACCAAAACACGATCACAAACATGATGAGATGGTGATGGACAGAGAGAAAGAAATGCAGGTAAAATGGTGAAGGTAAAGAAAGTTCTTGTCCTCCGACTATGTAGTAAGTGCCCTCCAAGGTGAGCCCATGGTTCCCCATATCACGATGTTAACACCTTTCTCCTTCAATGGAAGGAAGGCTTATGACTTTTCATTTCCTATTTTATATGATAAAGAAAAGGATAAGATAGTATATCTCCCATTGTCTGACCTAAGGCCACTAAGAACTACAAGAATCAAAGAAGTATTTTGGGATCCCAGACTGTGGGGAACCATGGACAGTTCCTGAGATTAGCCAACAGGAAGCAAAAGGTCAGGTCTCATGGTCTTACTTAATTTTGACACCAGCTAAATTGAGTCTGTAAGGTTTTCCATAGTTTAGTCCCCACATTAAAGGCTACCCCTAGCCAAAACTAATAGCATTCTTGTTGAAGACCTGGCCTGGCCAACAGGGCTTCAATGGGAACTCTACCACCGAAGGACAGAATGATAAGGACAGGAGACACAAAGAAAGACACCAAGACAGGATTCTGATCAAGGTGCAACTTTATTTTTTCTCCAAGAGTGTTTATATAGCTCTTGCAGGGTAGGGAGAGCAGGAAGCCACAGCTGCAGGATGTTTGTGCAGGATATTGACAGGGTGAAGCAGGATGTTTGTGCTGGATATTGACAGGGTGAAAAGGCCAAGGGTTCAGACTCAATGCTCTGTTGCTAGGCAACCTGACCACAAGATGTTCTAGTTCCCTATCTTATGGGGGGGCTGTATTTTTTCCATTAGCTCTTCTAAAGGTCTGTATTTTTCCATTAGCTAGAGGTTCTGTCCTTGTCCCTGACAAAGACCTACATAAGATTAGTATGGATTTCCTGGTCCTCAAAAACATTGTAGTAATACATAGTTTTGTTTTTTTTTATTCTGGTAAATTTACAATAAAATGTAGCAGAAAAAAACATTGATTTTCCTGCTTGAGATAAGTATTCCCTTACCTTTGAAAGTCAAAAATTAATATTTAATTGGAAAAACAGCTTTAAATTTTGTACAATGCAGAATACATATCTCTACTAATCTACATATCTCTATTAGATTCCGTAGAGGCAACTGAGAAGCACAGCTTCATGTTTTCAACTGAAAAAATGATGTCCCAGCCAAAGACAATTAAATATTATTTAGTTCTTTTTAAGACTTCTCTAGTACTTTCACTTAAAAATGTACTAAATGTCTGATCAGTGCTTGGGTTTGAAGATATTTTAAAAGTAATTCAAGAAATTATATAATGCTTTCTGAGAGTAAGTCTTATTATTACATGCCTATAGAACTTAAAAGGGAAATAACTGAAAAAGTGTGAAGTCAGATAACTTCAAACTGTCTTTAATAAATATAAATTCATATGGAATATTTATGCAAACTTATTTTTGTTCTTATATACACCATTTGATTTCTACCACATTGTAGATTATAAATCACATATTTTAGGTCATTTCATTTCAATTTGGTTTCTGCATATTTTCTCATTCATAATAGTGACAGACAATTTAGAAAACTCATATAAAGGTGGCAAACTCCTATAATCTCACTTCAAGGAGGTATATCTGAATGGATCTCTGTGAGTTCAAGGATAGCCTGGTCTGTGTAGTGGTTTTAGGCCAGCCAGGGATGTATATATAGTTTGTCTATAAATAAATTAATTAATTAACAATGAAAAAGATAATTAATGAAATCTTTCATGTGACCTGGCTATTTCTCTTCTGTGTATATTCCCAAAATTCCATATTCTATCATAGGGATATTTGCATCATGATATTTATTTCTACTTTATTCATTACAGCAAAGAACTATAATCTATCTAGTTGTCTATCAACAGAAGAATGGATAAAGAAGATTTGACATCTAGACATATATGACAGGTAATATTTACACTTACCTTTAGGTATGTGGATTATAATAATATTTAGAATGTTGTTAAGTAATTATGCTGGTCTAGAAAAATGATAGTAGTTGATTCTCTCCTAACATCCCTGAATTCACTAGCCCTGGGTATTTGGCTAAGTTTCTAGTATCAGACACAAGTCCCTCCAAGACACAATGAAATGATGAATGGGTTGTAGGGAGCTCAGCCCTAGTTGCTATGCCTGTGGAACAACTTCTGCGTCTGTATAAGGGAATATCATTGAAGAGCAAGCAGAAAGATTGTAAGAGCCCAAATGTCAAGAAATCTATTTTGAGATTGCCTCTTTTCAAAATGGCTACATACACAACCAAAGAATGACAATATCAATAGATATGCTAACATGGAAGGGGGAACCTCATAGGGTTCTACTTCTAGACAAAAAACTATAGGCACTTACTGACTGTCAAGAAATGGAAAATTAGTATTAGACAGGGTTGAACACTCTGATAAGTTTTCCAATCCAAACTTATACACGCAAAGAGCAACAATGGATTCTACAGGTTGTATTTATATATTTGTGTATATGTGAATATGTCTAACAAAAATAACCAAAGATAAAGAAGCTGCTCTCAATCTGAGGTGAGAAGACATGTGCTGTGGGATGGTCTGTATGTCAAATTGCTCTGATTGGTCAATAAATAAAACACTGATTGGCCAGTGGCGAGGCAGGAAGTATAGGCGGGACTAACAGAGAGGAGAAAAGAAGGAACAGGAAGGCAGAAGGAGTCACTGCCAGCCGCCACCATGACAAACAACATGTGAAGATGCCAGTAAGCCACGCGCCACATGGCAAGGTATAGATTTATGGAAATGGATTAATTTAAGCTATAAGAACAGTTAGCAAGAAGCCTGCCATGGCCATACAGTTTGTCAGCAACATAAGTCTCTGTGTTTACTTGGTTGGGTCTGAGCGGCTGTGGGACTGGCAGGTGACAGAGATTTGTACTGACTGTGGGCCAGGCAGGAAAACTCTAGCTACAGACATGAGAGGGACAATAGTGAGGGAAAAAAAGCGAGGGGGGGAGTGATGTAATCATATTTTAGTTAAAAACATAAAATATTAAAAAAATTACAGGAAAGCAGATGAACTTAGAATACATAGTACTAACTTAAGTCACATAATCTTAGAAAAAATAAATTCTTTCATATGTGGAATGTAGCTGATAACATCTGCATATATGTAAATAAATATGCATGTGAGTGTAGTATAGCATTAAGGAGAATAAGAAAGACTAAATACAAGGGATGAAGAAGAACTTAATGTTGATAATAGACATGAGTTATGATAGAGGATATAAAGCTAATTGTTCCTAGTCCTATTCTGTTATGATTTTTTTTATTTCATTGGTAGATGAGTGCATAAAATATATTTGATAGTGAAAGTGTAAAATTTAATGAGAAGCCCCACAACTTCCATTCTGAAGGTCAATTCAAACTATATAGAATTTCATTAAGTTGTAGAGGCTTTGGGTCTGGCTAATTTTGCTGTGCAATGTTTTTATTCATTTGCAAGGTTTTACAGTAATAAAGTTAATGAATTTAATATAATTATGTAAAAGTAATTTAGGTCCTGGAGAGTTGGCTCGGAGGGTAAAAACTCTCATTGTGAAAGCACAAGGACTTGAGTTCCAGAACCCATGGGGGAAAAAAACTCCATTAATACCTGTAACCACAGTTCTGTCATGGTGGTGACAGGAGGATTGCTGGTTCTTACCAGCTGCCTACCTAGCTACAGATTCAGTGACAGAACTTGTCCCAAAATATCAAGGCATGGAGTGAAACAGCAAGATACCTTATATGTTCGTCTGGTCTCTTCACAGATGCATGCAACTGCACACATGTGAGTACATGCCCTGTGCTAGCACAGGGACACTCATGCAGATAATTTAGAAGTTCATACTCAACATGAATTATTTATAATCATCATTTTTTTTTCAGATTTGTATTAACATGAATATCTAGTCACCAAACCTCGTTTGTCTGGTCCAGTAAGTTTGGGGTGTGGTTATAGAATCATCATATTAAAATAATTTCAAAAGTGGCTCTGATTATTTTATTCAGGAAAAGGTATTTTGTATATTCTATTAACACACATACAGCAGTACTTAGAAGTGAGCAATCTGAAATTCTCTGCGAGCTACACCATGGGGAAAGTAATCTTAAAGCATGGACTACATACAGAGGCACTTGCAAGTCAACAGTTTTGAAAGTTGTATTCCTTAACTTTGGTCCTGGCACCTTTCCAATTTGCTGCATATTTTAGTTGTTCCCTCCATGGTGGTTACACTGGTTTCCTTATCAAAGCATATCTTGTATCACTTGCAGGAACCTCTCAGAGAAGTAGAGCTGAGGATCATGGGAGCTCTGGAAAGTGTTCAGACATCAAGCAAAGTTGGAGAATTCAGTTAAGTGTTACTGGACTTCCTTTCCCTTTTTGGTGTTTCATACATAATCTGCTATATTTCTTGTATGAGAATTGCTACATGACTTGTCTAGTTTACCTCAGTTTTGTGAAGAATTCATTATTCAGACAAAGGAAGCTGACTATTAATATGCAACTGTTAGTAAGGTCATACTCGACCAAGAAAAAGCAGAAATAAAGGTTCTTCTATGCTGTGAGAATGAAGTGTTTGTGGGATGTTCTAGTCTACAATATAAAATCTTATAACTGCTTCTCATCTTCCAAAGACTAATTCTTGCATTTAGATATGTATATAAATATGCATATAGATATGCATATAGATATGTATCTATACAACAACACTAACTCTTTAAATACTATGAAAATTTCCTTTGGATGTGTATAAAGGTCAGTAGGAATTTTAGTATTTTTACATAGCCAAGCAACCATACCTTTAGCACCTCAAAAGGGTGTCCTGTGTCACAGGTACCTGCTCTCTATCTCACTTTCTTTTAATCTGGGAGACACTGATACACTAATTCTGAAAATCTCATGAAATTGAAATCAGGTACTAGGTAATGTCTAGTACATACCTTTCTTTTTCTTGGGATATATTCAAGGTCCATATATGTTATCCCAGATATTGGCAGCTGTACTTTTCTGTGATTAAATGCTGACCTTGAACTCACAGAGATCCATGTGCTTCTACCTCCAGAGTTTTGGAATTAAAAGTGTGCATCAGCATGCCCAGTCCTTCAACTGCAGTATTCTTAACAACTGTTTCATAATTTTATAATGTTGGTGATGATAGGTACATTTTTAACTCCTACCTTAGATTTTTATTCTTCTTTACTTCTTACTTGGTCAGTCTAAAGAATTCTGAGTTTATTCCTTGGGTTTTATATTTTTTAAAGTTCATCTTTGTATTTTTCAAAGTATTTTCTAATTTTTCAGTATTTTAGAAATAGAATATCTTGAGTGTGTTATTAAATTCCCATATGTAGTTTTAATTATCAGATTTTTTTTACTGAGTTCATAACAAAGCAGAGTCACAAAAGGCACACCAAAAGCTTACTTAGCATGGCCTGCTCATTTAGATTTGCTTGTACTGACTGTGGCCTGCCAGAGTACTGGAGAACACTGTCTAGAGAAATGCATTCTTCTTTTTTGTTGGGGAAAGAGTTTTATAAAAGTCTGTTAGGACATTTTGCTTCATAGCATTATTTAAGTCTGTTTTGTTGTCAGTGTTCTGCCCATTAGCCATTACTAAAATGGAATTCTGAAATTTTTAGATATTCTTACTGATTGTCTGTAGCTGGAGTTTTCCTGTGTCCACCTGGCTCCTGCAGCCACTCAGACCCAAGTAAACACACAGAGACATATATTACTTATAAACTGGATGGCCATGGCAGGCGTTTTACTATCTAGTTCTTCTATCTTAAATTAACCCATTTCTATAAATCTATACCTTGCCATGTGGCTCGTGGCCTACCGGTATCTTTATGTCTTGCTTCTTATGTCAGTGGTGGCTGGCAGTGTTTCTTGACTCAGCCTTCCACTTCCCAGAATTCTCCTCTCTGCTTATCCCACCTGTACTATACTTCCTGCCTGGCTACTAGCCAATCAGTGTTTTATTTATCAATCAATCAGAGCAACACATTCATAGCATACAGAAAGACATCCCCAGCCAATTGTCCATTTATCCTTTTGCTGAAGAGGATAAAAATTCCAAGATCAAGATGCTTGATGAGGAGACAGTTCATTGATCCTGTGTCATTATTTCAGTTGTGAGCCCTCTTTTGAAATCTATAATTGTAAAATAAATAAATAAATAACAGATTTAATTGGAATATTTTAATTTTTGTATATAATGTAATTTGACCGTATTATTCCATCATTACCCTATTTTATGACATGTGCTGATTTGAATGGGAATGTGCTCCCACTCTTAAATTTGAATTCTTGATCCCTAGCTATTGGCACTATTTGTGAGGGAAATAAGGGACATGGCTTTGTTTGAGGAGGTGTGTCATCAAGAGAGGGCTTTTAAAAATCATAAACCCAAGCAATTCCCAGTTGTCTCTTCTCTTTCTCCTCCTTCTTCTTTCTTTTTCATTTATAGTTGAGGATGTAAGCTCTCAGCTACTGATCCAGTGCCATGCCTGCCTACCTGCTGCCATGATCCTGACCATGATGATAAAAGACTAATTCTCAGAACTATAAGAAAATTCCAAATAAAATCTTACTTCTGTAAGTTTCAGGATATGCATTGATACAGAACCATCCAGGAACATGGGTTGCCTCTCAAAGGCTGCATCCCTGAAGAAAACTGTATCTCTATTCTTTTGCAGCTGTTAATTGCCATAGCTCCTAAATTAAGGTTGGAACTTCATACACCCCTTTCCCATCCATGCTATCTATGACAGTGACTGACTTGATCTTGTACAGGCTTGTATATGCAGACACAATTGCTGTGAGATAATGTGTTCAACTCTACTTTCATGTCTAGAAAGCAGTTTCAATGTAATCTTCCACCACTCCTGATTTTTATAATATCTCTCTCTGATCCCTCTTCTGCAATGATCCCTGATCCTTGAGGGGGAAGTGGTGTGATATAAATATCACATTTAGAGCTGAATACTCCACAGCAACTTATTCTTTACATGTACATGCCATGGGTCTCTGTATTGATCATCATCTAATACAAAAAGAAGATTTTCTGATTAGAGTTGAGAGATGCACTAATAAGTGTGTATTGAGATAAAAACTTAGGAGGTAGTTGAGTATTGTTCCCATTTAGAAGAATAATAGTACTAGGTTCTCCCCGAGGACCTATGTGCTGTGGATATCTGTATACTGTGAATGTGTTGCTTTGATTGTTTAATAAATAAAATACTCTTTGGCCGGTAGCCAAGCAGGAAGTATCGGTAGGACAAAGGGAGAGGAGAATTCTGGGAATAGGAGGGCTAAGTCAGGAGACACTGCCAGCCATTATGACAAGCAAGATATGAAGGAAGAACTGGGAAAAGGTACCAAGCCACATGGCTAAACATAAATAAGAATTATGGGTTAATTCAAGTGTAAGAGCTAGTCAGTAATAAGCTTGAGCAAATGGCCATACAGTTCGTAAATATTATAAACCTCTGTGTGTTTACGTGGGTCCAAGCAGCTCTGAGACTGGCAAGTGAGAGAGATTTCCCTGACCACTGGCAGGCTGGGACACAGGAAAACTTTAGCTACACCCGTGACCTAGACAATCACAAGCTTTTGGCTCAGTTAATTGTACCATCCATGAATTTCTGTCTTGTGGAGTGGCCTTTAAATCCAATAAGATAGTGTGGTTGTTTTTTTTTATTTTTTTCCCCATAACATTTGTGCTACTAATGCATCAGTGAACATATATTACCAGCTCAGTCATTATTGATTTTAGATTTCACAGCTCTCTAAAACTTTATTTTTTTTCTTTCCTGGAAGTATGCACAGAGTTTTCCAACATTACGACAGTTAGCTAGTTAGGGTGAAAATTCTAGGTGAGTACCAGCGATATTTCTCCTGCCCTATGACTGACATATGTGGTGTCTTTAATGACAGTATCTTACCACCCAAATCTAGAATGTACCAAAAAGCAATAGCAATGACCTATGATGCTTGGAGGGGATCTATGTGACCCAACTAGCTAACAATTCCAAAGAAAATAACCCATTTCAGGCACTAGGTTTCATATTCAGGAGCCTGTAGCACCTAGGAGTAACAACCATCCCCATTATATGGTGACAACATTTGAACTTTTACATATGATTATAAATATGTGTATACTTTATGAAGTATTGGAGAAATTATTTTGGCCACTCCACGTAGTTAAAAGGATATTTATTTAATGGTGTAACTCACAAATTAAGTAATAGGTAGGTCGCAGGGTCTGGGGAAGGTATATTGCAGTCCAGAGGTGTTCTCTGGAGCTCTGCTCAGTCAACCTCCACCATTCAGCTTCCCGGCACAGAGAGAGTGCACAAGAGAGTGCACAGAGAGAGTGCTGACCCATCCAGCTCTCAGGTCTCCCGGCACCTCCCCTGGCCCCACCTCGTAGGAAGGAGTGACAGTTGCCAGAGTCTCAATGGGGGTTGGAACTTCCAGATCCAAGCTGGAAAGGCTACCCACTACAATGAAGCTTCTATAGTAGGAAGTTTTTCATATGATTATTTTAAAAGTTTTGAATGTTCATCATCCCTTCTGAGATTTGTTTTTGAGAATAGCAATGAACATCTTCTGCCACCAATAAAATCTCCATTGCCAGGAGTGGGTTACATCTGGCTGAGTTATTGGCCAAAGGGGTCCCTTGGAATTCCTCCCAAATCACAGACTATTGTCAAGTATATTGGTTACTAATAAGGTCCTGTTGCTGAAGACAACACTTACTGTGTTCAAAACCATGCAGAAGTTGAGTTGATGACTAGAAGCTTCACCCCTACTAACTAGTATTCGTGGTACTCTGCAAACTCTGCAAAAGGTAATCTTATCACCCAACTACAAATCCTGTGACCTACAACATCGACTTGTCTGAAAGGTTATATTTGTAAATTAGTGTTACAAATGGTATGAGAGTAACTAACCACTTTTTGATTAGATTTAAGTCCTATTCCATGAGATAGAACACATACCTGACATGTCTACTTAGGACATTGACTCTGGATAACTCTATTTAGATTACTTTCAATTATGTATAAATTTCAGGCAGCTTCTACAGTAAGAGGTTTTCATATGGCCTTTAGTGTTAGTATTACTTACACATATTCCCCTCTTTACCCATCTCTTCCATCTCCTTCTCTACTTAATTGTCTTATTCTAGCTTCTTCTTCTTCTTCTTTTTTTTTATCTCTCCATAGCAGTGTTTTCTATTTCCCTTCCTTTGAGATATTCTCTCCTCCCTTCTGGTTCCTTACTATGTAGCAAATTTCTCCTTAAATCTGCACCACTTTTTAATTGAGTTATTTGTTATTTTGATGT